AGTACCAGACGCTGAAGGTGAAGTACTTATAGTCAAGCCGTGATGTCCTGCCAAACTGTAAGTGGAAATATAATTTGGTAAGAATGAATTTTGTAGAGCTTTTCAAGCGCTTCACGGTGGTAAAAAGAAAAATTACCTATCTTTTTGCCTTATGTTATAAATCCCACGATACAAACGTAACGATGTGACACAGTTTTTGTGAGCCATTTTTCAGGTACTTAGGATGATCACAATGATTTCATTTTTTGAAGACTAAGTCTTTACGTGTAGCCAAGTGTTATATACAAAAATCAGATCGACTGATCGAAGTGGGAGCTCAAAACGTGGCCGTAATCGAGGAAGCTACTCACAAAAGTACGAAGCAATCCTAGTTATCAAAGTGGAACCCAAATAGCCCATTTGGTAGAGAATTGAATTTTGCGTCGAATGATGTGTCCTCAGGCTTTCTTTAAGAAATTTTATTTGGTAAAAAACCAAAAATACGATTTCTGAAAAGACGAAAACTAGATTTTGGATGACAAAAATTGATTTTTACACAAAACGGACATCGTATTCGTAAACAGCGTTAAAAACTACAACCATTAGTCTATTCAAACTTCGCCAACTCGAAAAAAATATTTTTCGAAACTTGATTAGGGAAGCGTCACTTTGCGTGGACAAGCCGATTGATTGTTGAGATCGAATGAATTGTTCGTATTTTCTGAAATGTAAAAGAAAAAGACGAAATACCTTTACATCGATTTGGAAGAGATGACACTAGTGAAAATATAGACGAAAATTCGTCGTAATCTTATCTCATTTGCTCGTGTATCGTTATCTATTCGATGGAAAAAACCAATGACTAATTCATCGAAAAACTTCTCACGAGTGTTGACATTTTTCTTCACTTTGACTTCAAATTTATCTTTAGAAATTCACATTTCACATTGATGGACAAAATGACAACGAATGAAGCACAATGTTTTCTTTGTAAAAAACATAAATTCACATATTCTTGTCGAGGTTGTTCAAACGAATTCTGTTTTGACGATTTAACGAAACATCGACAAGATTTGACTGAAGAATTCAACACGATTATCAACAATTTTGATCAATTTAGAGAAAATCTTCAACAAAGAAAAGAAAATCCACAAAATTCTTCTCTCTTTATTCAAATTGATCAATGGGAAAAGAATTCGATCGAAATGATTCGACAAACAGCTCAACAATGTCGACGAACATTTCTCAAAGAAAATGAAGAATTTCTCATCGATATTGAAGAGAAATTCAATAAACTAATTAAAGAAATCAAAGAAATTCAAAGAGAAAATGAAGTCAACGAAATGAATTTGAAAGATCTAAAAGAAAAATTAACAAAAATCAGCAAGGAATTCAACGATTCATCAGAAATCCTCATCGAAGGAGATTCACAAACATTTATCAAAAGAATCTCGGTGAAATCAACAAGAAGTAAGTCGAAAAATATCTTCTTCTCATATCCAGAGCGTTGTTGAACAATGATTTCAAATACAAAAGATCAACTGAATTTTTGTCTTTGCAGAACCAAAGTTGGAGAAATGGAAACAAAATGGATCGACAATCTGTGGAGGAAATGGAAAAGGAGACAAATTAAATCAACTTTCAGATCCTTGTGGAATATTTATCGACAAACATCAGAATATTTTCATTGCAGATGTGGGGAATGATCGAATTGTTCGATGGAAAAGAAACGAAAATCGAGGAACAATTGTGACTGGTGGAAATGGAAGACGAAACAGTTTGAATCAATTGGATCGACCAACGGATGTGATTGTTGATGAACAAAATAATTCAATCATCATTGCTGATTATGGAAATCGAAGAGTAATGCGATGGTTTTTGAACACAAATCAGTCGGAGATTCTCATTGACAATATCGACTGTTGTCGATTAACAATGGATAAATTTGGATTTGTTTATGTTTCTGATTGGAAGAAACATGAAGTGAGAAGATGGAAAATGGGAGAAAGGGGTCAAGGAGAAGTGGTTGCTGGTGGAAATGGAAGAGGAGATCAACTCAATCAGTTCAACGGTCCAACTTTTGTGTTTGTCGATGATGAACAATCTGTTTTTGTTGCAGATTGGGAAAACCACCGTGTGATGAACTGGAGAAAAGATGCACAGGAAGGAATTGTTGTTGCTGGTGGAAATGGAAACGGAAAGAATCTGAATCAATTGGGTGGTCCTCAAGGAATCATTGTTGATCATGAGGGTCGAGTTTATGTTGCAGATTGTGAGAATCATCGAATAATGCGATGGTGTGAAGGAGATGAAGAAGGCGAAATAGTTGTTGGCGGAAATGGAAAAGGAAATGAACCTAATCAATTGTCTTATCCTCGCAGTTTATCGTTTGATGGTGAAGGAAATGTTTGTGTTGGTGATCAGAGAAATCATCGAATTCAACGATTTGATATTATCATTTGAAAAAAGCAAAAGTTTATTTTAAATTTCGAAATCGAAATAAAATGCAATTCGAAATGAAAAACAAAGTTTAAAGAAAAGTTTTCGAGAAAATCATTTGAAAATTAAATTCAACACAAAAGAGAAAATGAAGTTTTGCGAAAAAGAATTTTGATGAAAAGTTCGAACGAAGATAAAGAAAAGAATCTTTCAAAGACAAATAGTTGAATCGAAAATGCTTTTCATCGAGAAATATTCATTAATTTATCGATCTAAAGAGAAATTCTTTGATAGCAAGATGTTTTTTTTTTTGAAATAACAGGTAGTTCGTTGACTCAAACGAGATTTCTAAATTCATGAATGAAAAAGAAAAGAAAAGAAATCTTTTCTCAAAATAACTTTTTCATGTGTTTATGAAGAAAATTCCAAAGTGAAAAAGAAGAAATTCTCTTTTCTTTTTGTTTCGTATTAGGGATGTAACAATACCAATACTCCAATACCGTATTGGTAATGTGACATGCCTACCAGACACTCTTTTTCATTTAAACAGATCAAATTAATAAGCGGCATCTTATTTGTTCTAAGACGAAGACGTACTAGTATAAATGACGAGTATCTCATTGGACACAATCGAAAACATGTAAATGAAAAACAGCTTGTAAAAATAGACACTTTGTGGAAGTATACAACTTGACCAGATTTGAAAAGAAACGATCCATTTATCTTCTTTAATGGTAATGTACGCAGAGTATGCAACAACGATGTTTTAACAACAGCACAGCCGTCTAAAACTTATCAAATCGTGTTTACAGGATAAAGATGCAAATACTCGATCGGCAAACGCTGCTAGGAATATAATCTTCAGTTGAAATTCTTGATTCATTTCTTCTTTTCGAGGATCCGTAGTGCATATCTTATTTAAGGGAACACTATCATTCAACTCTCAAGACGACATAGCAGACAATCATTTGTAGTGGATAACTTAACATTTCTTCCAGTGGTTTATATTTGAGCTCGTCACAGAAAAGCATTCAAAGATCCTGCGACTCTTCATGTTTTTTCAGTAATCAGTTCGATCACTTCTCACAACTACAAGGATCAAGAAGGGTGCACTGTCTCTAATAAGGTTGATAAAGATCTGTTTTTGTGTGAATTCGAATGTTAGTAGGATTATGATGATGTTTATTATGACAGAATGATCTTTGTACTTCGTGTCGGAGGTGTGGCGTTGAAATGAAATAAATATAAAAACTTGAAACTGGATTTACGTAAAATAAAATTGATGAAACAACATGCAAAAGAAGGATCAATCCGGATTGTTGTTGATTACCTTGAGTGAACATTCCGTAGTAAAGTTGCTCAACGCAATATGGAATCGATGAGATAACAATTGCAATTGACATTAACACGAGCATTCGAGACAATTGTATATCGATATTTTTATGACTATCAGTGTGAATTTGCAGTTGTTTTAAATGCTGAAAGGTTAGTGTGCCAAATATTGATAGAAATACGATGGAAAAAAAACGTGCAAGACGATTTGAGTAGTGTATAAATAATAGTAAGAATATTGACTCGAATTGACATCATAATCACCGGTTGATGAAACTTCGAAAAAGATGAATAGAGGAATGCTATGGAGGTAAAAGAGAAAGAAAATCAACAGAATGATTCGTATTGTGTGGTGTTTGGTGGTGCTAAGATTTCTCAAAGGAACATTTCTGGATATTATTAAATATCAACTGGAGGCGGTCATGCAAAAATACGTTAACGATGTCAAATCAAACGTATATAAAATGAAGAGCTGTAATTTACGTAGGGAAATGACTTGACTTGATGAAACTGAACAACTAACACTATCGAAAATGACTCGAGTGACCAATGGATATAGAAGAACGATTGAATTAGAGATCGATGATGCGAGCAAGTACAAAGAACTGTGTTATTGGCTTGATTCGTATTCTGATGATGGCCACACCTTCATTTTAAACAACGAAATATTTAATCACAGTACTCACAGAAACAACTATTCCTTACTTTTTATGTCGAATAGACTACGAACAAAAAACTGAATCAACCTATGCATCTGTACTCACAGAAAATCATCTGACATATTTTCCTCCCTCTTGTCGAATGGCTTCGGGACACCACTATGAAGCAATTCAGATGGATGTCAATGAACATGGTTTTTATACTATTTTTGGCAGCACAGAGAGTATGACTATGAACATATCAGTTTATGTGTATAAGCACAATTTTTATCCATTGATCCCGCTCGAAAATTTACTCAAGCAGAAAAGCGGCTGAAGTGCGTATGATTCAACTCAAATTACTGTTGAACTCCAAACTAACTTTCGATACATATTAGTTGTGACAACATGTTCGGGAAATATAATGGGAAAGTTTTTGATCAAACTGCTCGGTAGAAACAATGTCAGTTTTCACCGAACAGGTGAGTAGTGTGTGTGTGATCTCCATGATTTGTAGAGAAGCATCACAAATTATACAAAATCTTTTGTGCAAATAGCCTTTTAAACTTAAACTTGATCTTTTTCTGAATAGATGCTACATCAGCTTTTCGCATGAGCTATTCATCGACACTGGGAATAAATAGTCAAAAATACAATAAATACTGCATCAGTGAAGACCATTACTATGAAACTCTACGATTAACCGTACTCGCCGATGCGTATTACACTCTTTCAATGACTCGAACTGTTAATGTCATTGATGGCCCAGATATATATATATATACAAAAGTCATTTCGATCCACTAAATTCGCTTAAAAATTCAATTCCAACTAAGGAATACTTTTGTCGTAATATTAGTGTGATAAAATACTCACTTCATCTTCGGTATGGTATCACGTATGTCCTAGTTGTGACAACTAGAGAATCGTCGACAACACGACCGTTCTCAATCACTGTCTATGGCCCAACAAATGTTAGTCTTCAACGCATTGGTAAGTCTATCCATATCAATATTCAAAAGTGTATCGAAAATGTTACAATATTATAGAAAAAGAGCAGTTTTTTAACCGCTAATCAGTCCCTCCTGATTTTGAAAAATTACCACAGAAAAAATACAATTTTTGTAATGAGCCTACCCTAATTCAAAATTCTGGCACCGCCACTACTTTCAAAGATTTCTTTAGTTGATGATACGACTTACTGTTATGTTGGTGGTGCATGTAATACTCAAGTGAAAAGTATCGATCTGACTCTTGATGACATTCTTCGATTGGAAATCAAGCGAAACATGACAATACATGAGCAAACATTCGCCATTCGGATCAGTGCTGCGCTTTCAATAATTATGTTTACTACAGGTGTCGTGAGTAGTTTTTCCACAATGTTAACCTTTCAAAATGCTAGTTCACGAACAGTTGGATGTAGTCTGTATCTTCTTGCATCCTCTGCCACTTCTGTTTTGACAAAGAGAAAAGCAAACGCTTTGCTCAATGGAGAAACATTTACTAGCAGCGTCGACGTGACGGATACGCTTTTCTGGTGTATCATTACTTATCCACAATCACTTCAAGATTACAACACGTCCATTCTCTTCATTCACTTGCTTGGCCCATTCAGCATAAATCTTTTATCTTCGTTGTTATCTGGTTGTATAGGTGTATTTCATTATACATGGTTATATCTTTGTGGTTATTTCATTTCATTCACATCTTCAATACTGGTCTTTGTTGTGTTTGTCCTTCCTTCGAATTCCTATCGAAAAACTTTCAAAGAATCATTTTTTCGACTTTGTAAACAACGGCAATCATAGAACAAATCATCAGCATTTATCACTACTGTAGCGTCATGATTATTTGAATAAATACATATACAGAAGAAGATGATGATGGTTGATCAAGTGATCCTAAGATGTCGAATACGCAGTGGTGCGGAACCTTCCTCGTACATCCCCGCACGGGGTAGAAATTTTAGAAAAAACTTACCCTCATTATAATTAACTATTACCAAGCATCATTCATTCTTTCGAGAGTTTTGCATTCTGCTCACAAAGTTGCTAAACATGGTTCGGATGATCCTACGCTCCATTTACGAGAGGGGCCATTTGATTTTTACCACACATTGTGGATCTCAGTTGGTAATCGATTCAAGGAAACTCCTGCTATATTTGAACAAATGGCAAATTGTCTTGACGTGGCAGTATTTTACCGAAAAGTTGTTCTTCACTATGTGGACAGTCACCGTTTGAATGTCTGCTAAAACTTATGAAGAACAGATCGAAACACATCAAAGTTGAGTATCTTACGTTGAGTGACTAATATTTGGAATGAAAGAAGCGATGTTCGAGAGAATTGTGAGAAAAGCAAAACTGAAACGTTTGAACAAAAGTGATGAAAAGTTCCTTGAGGCACAAAAATTTGACAAGTAGCATGGAAAATTCCGTCATTTCTATTCTCTGGATTATAGATTTTTAGGCAAAGAAGTAATGCTGCAGTGAAATGCACCACCGATTGACCTAGCTGATTCATTCATCAAGTCCTGTCTCGACTAAAGAATAGAAGCTGGATTTTTCAAGGAAAAAACAAAAGTCTGTCCTTTTTTTACTGCGTGGAATAAGATTGTCCTGTATGTGACGGAAAAGAAAAGCGCTGGAGTAAATTTTCGCGGGGGGGGGACAAATTTTTTATCTTTTTAGAGATTCTGCATTTCTGGGTGCACTCCTACTGATAGCAAAGAATTATACATCATTTTTGCATCAGACGTGACAAGTTATGCTAATCCCGTCAGAAGAAAAGTTTAGAAGAGCAAAATTCACAAAACAACAGATTTTGGCGGTATACCAATGCGTGCCTATATTTTTATCATTCTTTATTGGCAATTCTCTGTTTTTTACGTAAGCTCAGTTCCCTAAGGATTCCTATTTTTCTAAAAGTCGTAATTGGAGGTCAGGAAATGGTACAATGGTGTTCTTTATATTCATACATGTGAATAAACTATTGTTAATATCTGCGATATCTTCCATGATCAGTACAACTATCATTTACCTATGCATGCTCTGATTGAGACACTGTTTTACTTCTGCGCATTTGCAGTTATTGAGCCAATTTTTTTGGGGAATGTTAAGCATTTTTTGCGGTACGTCACCCTCTACTTTAATTTTGTCTATATAATAATCGATAGAAATATCACTCATTTAATTCATATTGCTCAGCGAGCACCAACGTTTCGACAACTTGCAGTCGATGCGAATCTCAATTCTAGTAGAATTAATTCTTCCATCAAATGTTGAACTATAGGCGTTCTACTACTGCGCCATAATTAGAAACTATTTTCTCGTTCAAGAAGCAAATTGTTGATGTACTCTTAGCTCATGCTACATCAACATGTCGGTTGAAAATGTAAGCTGTATTTTCTTGATATTTATTTCAAATAAAATCTTCATTTGCTAGATACTTTGCCTTTCGACAACGATTCACCAGGACATTCAGTGTTGTATTGTTCGACATATTCTTCCATGAGAGTTCGTACAGCTTGACCGATCCGTTTGTAATCGGCTTCGTTCAAATTAGCAAGAGATACACGACCTGATGGATGTTGAACACCGAAGCCTTGACCTGGTAGAAGTACGACATGAGCTTCGCGAGCAAGTCGAAGTAACAAATCCGTCGCATTTATATGAGAAATTAACCATTCGGCAAATTTACGTCCGTGAACACGTTCTCCAATTTCTTCAAGGTCAAGAATGCTGTAGTAATCAACAACAGTGTCATCTTCTTCTTTACCGTCCAAACTAATACCAATAGCGCGATAGAGTGCGCGTTTACGATGTCGTATAAGTCGCTTGAGTGCTGTTTTATATGAATCCGACGTATCAATAAGTGCAAAGAGAGAGAAGAGAACCATCTGGACTTGTTGAGGTGTAGACAAGCCAGCTGTGTGATTCAGTGCTACTGAACGACTATCGGCTACTAATCGATCGATAAATTTCAGCGAATCCGGATCCGGTGCGATTGATTGATAACGTTTCCGGAGAGCGGTTCGATTTTCGTCGTCTAGCGCAGCAATCTGAGTGTCGAGAACATTGTCGCGATGTGTTCCGATGACACCGAGACGCCAGCCTGTTGCACCAAAATATTTCGAGTATGAATAGACGAGGATTGTGTTTCTAGGACACACAGCAAAGAGTGAAACGAAATCGTCAGCAAATGTACCGTAGACATCGTCTGTGAGAATGATTAAATCAGGACGTTCAGCGACGATTGATGCAATATAAATAAGACTCTCATTGTCAAGCTTAACCGATGGTGGATTCGATGGATTAACAAGAAAGAAAGCTTTGATCGTCGGATCACGTAACTTGTCTAATTCGGTTTTTGGATATTGCCAATTTCGATCTTCATCAGCATTGATATCGATGACTTCGAGTCGATAATCACTCATATGTGGAATTTCTAGATAAGGTGTGAAGATTGGTGCACCCAATGCAATCTTATCACCCGGTTTGAGTAGGTAATTAGTACGTAATGAATTGAAGATGTAAGTCATCGCTGCTGTACCACCTTCGACTGCAAATAGATCAAATTTGTCGATGAAAGGCTACGCAACGAAACAATAATGATTAAAATAATTTCAACAGAATATCTCACTTGATTACCGATCATTTCGTTTCGTAGATAATGATTAACGATCTTTTCAGAGAGTGGAAGCATGCGATCGGGTACTGGATAGTTACAACCTAGTATACCTTCACACATTTCGTACAGAAATTCTGAAGCATCAAGGCCGACTTGATCACGAACGTAGGAGACAGCACCACGAAGAAAAGCGATACCATCGGTAGTTTTGTTTTCACGAGCGAATGATTCGAATCGTTCTTCGATTCGTTCACGTTTAGGAAAACCGCCGACACCTTCAGGTAAATAAGCAAATGATCGTTCCGATTCGCGCATGGCAAATAGGCCCAATTGAAAAAAACCATGTCGAGGAACTGTTGATAAAAAGTTTGGATTCCCGCGGCCAGCATTCAACATAGATCTATTCTCTGGCCGGGAGACTGTTACATTACCACCTGCTGTCTTGATCAACACATCTTTCAGTTCGAAAGGACTGAGGGAATCCAACTTATTCATCCTTTCGTAACGACAATATGAAAATGAATCCAGTATACATCGTTGTATTATAGAAAGAGAAAACAAGAAGACACGGCAGACTGATTGCTATTCTAGTCCACGTGGTACGTATAGGAGCGAAAGAAAGAAATGGTTATTTCGTTTTGTGATACGTGGGCGAACGGTCGTATCATCAATAGAATTTTCTCTTATTGTTTACTGGATGAAATCAGTAAAGAAAATATGACGAAGATAATTTAAGAAAAGCTTGTTTTTGTATCAATCGATTCTGAAAAGGCACAGGTATTAATAATGAAACCATACCTTTATTTATAATTTCTCATCCTTCAAATCTAGTTTCAAATAAAAAATGAATAGAAATATTTAACGTGAGCTCATTTTATATTTAGAAAGATTACGAGCAGCAAAAATATTTTTATATAAATATGTACCGACCTTTCCAATCTACCAATTCACTCTATTGCACAAATGTTTGACTTCATCCTAATTTTCCTGATTATTCAATCAAGTGTTGTTTCTCGATCATTCGAGAACGACAACAAATTACTATCATTAATCTTGGCAGAAGATTATCCTGATAATGGGTATACAGTTGTGGAATCAAAAACAACACTCTACGATGTGACTGAAGACTTTGTCATATTCGATCCATTGGCTACGAGTAACAATAATGGTCGCCGTTTGCTTCGAGCATTGATTGAGAAGAATCGAGAATCGAAAGCATTAACAATCGGCTCAAACGCATCGAAAGGTTATGTGATTGATAAAGATGATAAATTTTCAAAATACTTCATCGCAAATGGCGGCGGATGGGATAAACTATACAAGGAGAATCCCAAAGTTCGTGGTCTAACGTCAGTTTCACTGCCAGTCTACGATCGACAAACAAGTTTAGTCTTAGTTTATAAAAGCTTTTCTCAAGATTATCTGGCTGGCCAAGGCGATTTAATCCTTTATCTCTTTGACGAGACCAACGAGTCGTTAAAAGAATTATCACGACGAAATCTTTGGGTTTCATAAGGGAAAATATTTTTAACATTCCTTGATTTACCACTTTTACTTATTTCGAATAAACCGAAATACGATCATAATTGTCTTGGATCTATAAACAGTAAAACGACCGAAAGAAAAAATCTCGAAAGTTCTTATTTCATTTAAAATAAAATAATCCATGGATATTATATATGTTTTTCGAATGTGGATCAGAATATTAAATGTAAATCAACTTGTTACTGATCCTCACTTTTCTGCTTGAATCATATAAAGCACTATCAATATTCATTAAACTACAGTATTATCTGTTTTGGACAAGCCCAGCCTGAAATTCTCTTGCTGGAAGTTGAAGACATTCTCTCAAGGACATATGTACCAGAACGTTTCAACTTTTTATCTTTTCACTCTTTATAGCTGTTCTCTCTCTCTCTGATGAAAGGTAAGCAGATCAATGTCAAGTCAAATACTGTATTCATCACGCATACTTATGCCTTGAATTTACATGACATATGCCATTCAGATTTGAAATGAATTAATTTTTTTATAAATAAGTTTTTAATAAAAAAAATCCTATCTCTTGTTACAATATTGCATGACTTAGCACTTTCAGTATTCATTCTTCGGCGAAAGTACTTTCAGGTTGGTAGAGATGTTTTTATTAGAGAAAAATTTATTGTGACTAGAGCCGAAATAAAACAAATTTTTTTCATTTGCTCCATTTTTCTGTTGAGGCGCATCTTCCACGAGCATAGCAACAGCTAACGCCATACTCATACGAAATTCGAATGATTAATTCATTGTACACAGCAAAACTCGGCACTATTTTGTTTTCTGATTCATTAATCTAAGAACAGGACACATAAAATCAGATATGCCATAGCTCGTCTTTAGTCAACAGTTGCTGTTAAAGATCGATTCTTTTGCTTTGCATTATGACTATAACGTTTCAGGAAAGATTCTTGAGTCCATCAGTTTGTTGCTCTTTTTCAGCTATAGAACAACATTTTCACCACAAAAGCGTGTCAAATTTTATATTGAGAAACATATTTTTCGCGAGTTCTTCTTACAGCCGTGCGTTGATAAAATCTCATCACAGCCCATAAAAGGTACTGGCATTAGAGAAAAAGAAAAAGGATGTCTGGTATTACCTCAACAACAATAGACAACATTAGAAACATACTTGTATCGTCTATGGGAATCAGCTATATCGTTATTGGAACAATAGGTGGTATATTTAATATTCTACTCTTCACGAGACGCTCCCTAAGAGTTTTATCGCCGTGCATTCCCCTTATGCTCGCAGCTAATGTCGCCAATATGATCAATCTCTATTCGTACATTCCATTACGTACACTTGTTGGCTTTCAAATTACGCTCGTTTTTTATTCATCAATCGCCTGTAAACTCCAATTTTACCTGTTCTATACATCAGTTTGCGCGTCTACTTGGTTTATGGCAACTTGCTGTGTTGATCGATTCTTTTCATCATCGCCCAATGTTAGTGCACGACAGTATAGCAATATGCGTAATGCATATCGAAGTATTTTAGCCATTACTATTTTTATTCTTGTCTTTTGGTCGGAAGTATTCTACTGTTTCGATGCCAATCAAATCGGCAAACCTGGACCATGTTATACACGAAACAACGTATGTGCTATTTTCGATACGATATTTGCCTATATTTTCCAGGCGATTGGACCACCTATATGTATGATTATCTTTGGTATTGGTACATTCATTCATATTCATCAAGGACGACGAATACGACCCACGCAGATGAGTATTGAAATGACAGAGACTACCAATAGGAGAGAAACCAGTAATATTGGAGATGTACGTGGCAAGAATCGATCCATCTTACGCATGCTTATTGGGCAACTTCTTCTCTATATCGTATGCACTATGCCTCTTCTCATATTCAAACTTTATATAGCACTACCATTGACGATAGACAAGAGTAACTTACGTCGTTCTGTCGAAAATCTCATTCTTAACATAAGCATCTTTCTTCAATTGATTGACAAAACGTTTGCATTTTTTATTTACACAGCGACCAGCAAGTATTTTCGTCAGGAATTCATCAAACTATTTAAACATCATGATCGTCACAGGCACGTATAGTTTTATAACCTTCACCTTTGATACTCTAAACAATTTGCATATGCTGAAAAACTATTGTAGCTAGTTCATATATCTTTATAAGTGTAGTACCGTTTGTACGAATAAAATTATAGTTGACACTCTCATAACTCATGTTATCTCAAATTATATCTTGAAATTAGAACTTCCTGTTTATCACTATGTTCTATGTTTCTAAGCAACACAAAAGGAGATGTTTTATTCAAAATAAATTGACATTGTTCGAGATGGTGCACCACATTATGTACTAGCAATTCACACCAGCATCACATAGTTTTATTATATAACCGTAGCTGCAACTGAGTAGTAGCTACCATACTATTTGTAAATAATTGAAAATACGTTTTGGCACATGCTAAATGAAAGATTTCTTCATTAAAAAAAAACAAATTTCCAACGAAATATTTACGTGGAGTTCGATTATCTGAAAATAAAACAAACTTTGATTCAACATTTGATGCTGAAATAACTTATTCGGAGGTTCAGAAGTTGATTTGAAAGAAGTTATAACCTTTTCTTTTCATTTTATTGTTTGCAAATGTTCAAAAGTATAATATAGTTTATACTTATGAGCAAAAAGAAAACAAAAAATAGTTGCCAAGATAAATGGAATTCATTCTCTTAACAAACAATTCGTTTTATTTTGAAATATTTCTACATTTTACATAACTGAAAGATCACAAAAGAACCAACCAGGTAAGATGAAAACAGGAGAAATGATCGATGCATATTTCTTTTCTCCTTTTCCACAGGAAGCGACTACAGTAAGAATAAATTGTTAACTGAATACTTTTCTGCCGAAAACATACGCAATAGGATTCACTGTTTTATACAGAACGTGAATGCCGTCCACTGCCGGAAATTATCCATAGAGCATTTTAATGAATTAGAAAAACGAAATATTTCGTTATCTGCCAGTGGTTTCAACAGAAATGCACATTTCTGCTTATCTTCCAGAAACATCTTTATTTCACAAAGACTTGTTATTCAAAAAATGAGCAGTTTGTCTCCATCAAATACGAATGGTCCAATTTTTGTTTGAAAAAAATAATATTCGAGAATCTGGTTTTTTCTTAAACTATGGTAACTGTTACTTGGCTCAATTGCAGAAGATCTTCAATCATAAGACCAATATGTTTTGATATCTTATACTCTTGTGCTTTACTTTCCGATCAGATTAAAACAAATAATCATTTGTGTTAAACAAAGAATTCACATAGAAACCTAATCGTACATTTTCACTAGCTTCGATATCAAGTTGTTTATTGATAGAACACAATAGATAACAATGATGCTCCAGCACTTGATTATCTCTTTTATCATGAAGTGGAATAATGCACCTTCCTTTCTACTGTTCGATTGTCTAAAGTGTTATAACACTATAAGCATCTTCAGTATATTTCCAGTATATGTTTGATTTTGTGTGTTGTTTCTTCAGTGTCATTGACAACCTGTCTCTGAACGAATGATAAAAGAAAAATTGCAGCAGTGATCAGAAGGATGGCGTGGAATTGCGTGATAATGACTGTGAGCGAAAAACTTTGTACCAGTTTGACTGATGAATGAAAGAGAAGAAATGAAACAGGTATTTTATATATTGTGTTTTTACTATGCATGTATCATTGCAAACGAACAATTGAATTGTTAGTGTTGACCCACTGTTTATCAATCAATACCAAACAATTCCATTTCGTAATACAAATTTGCATTACTTACCATAAATCTTATGGATAGAAGAATGAATCAATACAATGTCATTGAAAATTGATAGTGATTATTCTATTTTCTCAATGTTCTTATTAGCTTTTGCAAATTGAAACAAGAGATACATGTGAATAGAAATTATTGTATTCGTTCATTGTCTTATAAGAAACACAGGTTATGTATTGCTACGCACACATATAATTATTGAATTGTTTTTTTATTAGAACGAGTTGATATCTTAGTAATTCCAAAATCCGAACCCTTTCTACTTTTGACATAGATGAAATCTTTTTGATTTCCATGTTTGCACATTATTGCCATGATCGTCAACAACACCCGTAAATTTAATTTTAAGGTTTCCTTTATTTGTTTCATCCCACTGGAATAAGTAGCGTACGTTGCCTGGCGATTGTTGAATTGGTTTTATGGGTCCATGTTGATACTCAGCTTCAGCATCAACCGTGAAGAACCCTTCGAGATTTCCGTGTAGTGCATGTGAATCTGGAAGTAAAACGGATGATAAATAGACTAGTAAACAGTCAAGAGCATCCATTAAAAATGCTCTCACTCAGAATGTTTACTGAAAAATGTTCTAATATGAAGTGTCCTTTTTGTTTTTCTTGATATATGTATACGTATGCACAGGAGCAAAAACAAGAGATCTTTTTTGAAAAGGACACCTAAGCAATTACCAGCAGAATGGGCAAGAACTTCAGTCGATGCAGACAGATCAGTTCTAACTAAAATTCGTTAGATATAAATAATTATTTGTTACCAAAAGAATATTTCATTTGTAATATCTGACAACTTCATAAAAGAAGAACAACTTTTTGCCATTTTATCTTTCGCATTCTCACGTTTCACAGTTATTGAATTTTTGCAATCGTTTATTTTGTTCAAGTGACTTTCGTTGTCTTTTTCGCAAATACAATTTCTGCTGAATCCATACTATACATGTAGTGGAACATAATTCAAATATCAGCAACGTGTTACGGAGAACATGTTTGAAACATCTTAGCGTTGTAGCAGATTAAAAATATGACTGCATTACTATAATTGGTCAATATCCTCAATTCGTTTATACGATAACTTTAGAAAGGCTAACGTGACTGATATGAAATTTTTGATGATGTATCATTCCATGAAAATCTCGCCAGAGTTCAAAGACGAGACCGATTGGACAAGCGACTCATAGATTCTTAAAAGAGGGCATTAATATTTCCATATGACTCGTTAATCTCTTCTACCTGGTACACTTTTTGCAGTACACATAGCTTCCGGATAAAATCCGAAGTTTTCGCATTTATTTTAAATAATAAACAAATATTCTACTTCGCCTTATACTACCCTCAATCTATTATTTATCAATGTGCGCTTCACTCTTTAAAAAAAAGAATCACTTTAACATCAAGATGACATACTCTCGACCTCGTCAACTATTTAAATAGCGTTCTTACTGCGTACGACAGATTCTCTTAATCATCTACACCTACGCCAGCATCCACTTTTCACGATGCAACATAAATAGTAACGAACGTACTTTTTTCGTGTCAAAAAATTACATCGAAGTGTACACACTATTTTTCAGTATAAATAGTCCTACATCAGAAAAGAAAAAAATCATGCATAATTATAAATGATGAGGTACGTAGAGTAATGAAACGATTTATGTAAATTTATAGAATCGTTATTTTTTTCTATAATTCAGATATACATTATTGTTATCAGCTATTGTTTATATTATTACTATTGATATTTCATGGGCACAATTGACAATCAATCTTCCATCGTTTGGAAGTGTTCAAGGCGAAGTAGAATATTTGTTTATTATTTAAAATAAATGCGAAAACTTCGGATTTTATCCGGAAGCTATGTGTACTGCAAAAAGTGTACCAGGTAGAAGAGATTAACGAGTCATATGGAAATATTAATGCCCTCTTTTAAGAATCTATGAGTCGCTTGTCCAATCGGTCTCGTCTTTGAACTCTGGCGAGATTTTCATNGGCAAGAATCGATCCATCTTACGCATGCTTATTGGGCAACTTCTTCTCTATATCGTATGCACTATGCCTCTTCTCATATTCAAACTTTATATAGCACTACCATTGACGATAGACAAGAGTAGCTTACGTCGTTCTGTCGAAAATCTCATTCTTAACATAAGTATCTTTCTTCAATTGATCGACAAAACATTTGCATTTTTTATTTACACAGCGACCAGCAAGTATTTTCGTAAGGAATTCATCAAACTATTTAAACATCATCATCGCCACAGGCACATATAGTTTTATAACTTTCACCCTTGGTACTCTAAACAATTTACATATGCTGAAAACTGTTGTGACTAGTTCATATATCTTTATAAGTGTAGTGTCGTTTGTACGAATAAAATTATAGTTGACGTTCTCATAACTCATGGTATTTCAAATTATACCTTAAAATTAGAACTTCCTGTTTATCACTATGTTTTATGTTGCTAAGGTGAAAGTTAGAAATAAGTAATTACAAGGCAACTCAAGAAGCTTATGTATAAAATCACGACATAGAATTCTATTTAAACACAAAAGGAGATTTTTTATTCAAAATAAATTGACATTGTTTGAGATGGTGCACCACATTGTGTACTAGCAATTCACATCAGCATCACATAGTTTTATTGTATAACGCCGTAGCTGCAACTACAGGCTCCTAAACTCAATGTAAAACTTTGCCATTCGACACGTTTAGTGTAACTACCATACTATTTGTAAATGATTGAGGATACGTTTTGGCACATGCTAAATGAAAGATTTCTTTAAAAAAAAAGAACTTTCCAACGAAATATTTACGTGAAGTTCGATTATCTGAAAATAAAACAAACTTTGATTTAACATGTGATGATGAAATCAATTGAATAGACGTTTGTTGACATTTAAATGAATTACTGGGAAGGTCAGAAGTTATAACTTTTTTCTCTCATTTTATTGTTTACGAATGTTCGAAGGTAACAGTTTTCTTTTATTTTGAAATATTTCTACATTTTACATAACTAAAAGGTCATAAAAGAGTCAACCAGGTAAGATGAAAACAGGAGACGTGATCGGTGCATTTCTTTTCTCCTTTCTCACAGAGAGTGACGACAGTGAGAATAAATTGTTAACTGAAGGCTTTTCTGCCGAAAACATACGCAATAGGATCCAGTGTTTTTATACAGAGCGTGAATGCCGCCCGCTCCCGGAAATTATCCATAGAGCATTTTGATAGATTGGAAAAACGAAATATTTCTTTATTTGCCAGTATTTTCAACGGAAATGCACATTTCTACTTGTCTTCTCGAAACATTTTTATTTCACAAAGACTTGCTATTCAAAAAAAATGAACAGTTTGTCTCCATTAAATACGAATGATCCAATTTTCGTTTAAAAAAATATTCGAGAATTTGGTTTTTTTCTTAAACTATAGTAGCTGTTACTTGTCTCAATTGAAGAAGATCCTCAATCATAAGATAAATATGTTCTGATATCATATATTTCTGCAAATTTGCCTTCCGATCGGACTAAAACAAATAATCATTTGTGCTAAACAAAGAATCCAAATAGTAACCTAATCGTACATTTTCACTAGCTTCGATATCAAGTTGCGGATTGGTAGAATACAATAAATAGCAATGATGCTTCAGGGCTTCATCATCTGTTTTATTATGAAGTGGAATAATGCACTCCCCCTTTCTACTTTTCGATTGTCCAAAGTGTTATACATTATAAACATCTTCGGTGTATCTCCAGTATCGCTGGTAATCTGTCTTTGAACGAATGATAAAAGAAAAATAGAAGCAGTGATCGGAAGAATGGCGTGGAATTGCGTGATAATGGCTGCGAGTGAAAAACTTTTTACCAGTTTGACTAATGAATGAAAGAGAAGAAATGAAACAGGTATTTTATATATTGTGTTCTCACTATGCATGTATCATTGCAAACGAACAATTGAATTGTTAGCGTTGACTCACTGTGTATCAATCAATACCAAACAATTCCATTTCGTAATACAAATTTACATTACCTACCGTAAATCTTATGGATAGAAGAATGAATCAATGCAATGTCATTGAAAATTGATATTGATTATTCTATTATTTTCTCAATGTTCTTATTAGCTTTTGCAAATTGAAACAAGAGATACATGTGAACAGAAATTATTGTATTCCAAATGTCTTTTTATGGAGCAAGCGCGGAAAAAATACAAAAGAAAGAAAATCGATTAAGGTTCATTGTCTTATAAGGAACACAGGTTATGTATAGCTACGCACACATATAGTTATTGAATTATTTTTTTATTAGAACGAGTTGATATCTTAGTAATTCCCAAATCAAAACCATTTCTACTTTTGACATAGATGAAATCTTTTTGATTTCGATGTTTGCACATTATTGCCATGATCGTCAACAACACCCATAAATTTAATTTTAAGGTTTCCTTTATTTGTTTCATCCCACTGGAATAAGTAGCGTACGTTGCCTGGCGATTGTTGAATTGGCTTTATGGGCCCATGTTGATGCCCAGCTTTAGCATCCAACGTGAAGAACCCTTCGAGATTTCCGTGTAGTGCATGTAAACCTGGAAGTAAAACGGATGATAAATAGACTAGTAAACAGTCAAGAGCATCCATTAAAAATGCTCTCACTCAGAATGTTTGCTGAAAAATGTTCTAATATGAAGTGTCCTTTTTGTTTTTCTTGATATATGTATACGTATGCACAGGACCCAAAACAAGAGATCTTTTTTGAAAAGGACACCTAAGCAATTACCAGCAGGATGGGCAAGAACTTCAGTCGATGCAGACAGATCAGTTCTAACTAAAATTCGTTAGATGTAAATAATTATTTCTTACCAAAAGAATATTTCATTATTGTAATATCTAACAACTTCATGAAAAAAGAACAACTTTTGGCCATTTTATCTTTCGCATTCTCACGTTTCACAGTTATTGAATTTTTGCAATCGTTTATTTTGTTCAAGTGACTATCGCTGTCTTTTTCGCAAATACAATTTCTGCTGAATCCATACTATATTTTGAGTGCAAAATGATTAAAATATCAGCAACGTGTTACGGAGAACATGTTTGAAACATCTTGGCGTTGTAGCAGATTAAAAATATGAGTGCATAACTAGAATTGGTAAATATCCTCAGTTCGTTTATACGATAACTTCACAAAGGCTAACGTGACTGATATGAAATTTTTGATGATGCATCATTCCATGAAAATCTCGCCAGAGTTCAAAGATGAGACCGATTGGACGAGTGACTCATGAAATCTTAAAAAAAGGAATTGATCTTTCCATATGACTCGTTATGACTTCTATCTGGTACACTTTTTGCAGTACACACAGCTTCCGGATAAAATCCGAAGTTTTCGCATTTATTTTAAATAATAAACAAATATTCTACTTTGTCTTATACTACCCTCAATCTATTATTTATCAATGTGCGTTTCACTCCTTAAAAGCAAAGAATCACTTCAACATCAAGATGACATATTCTCAACCTCGTCACCTATTTAAATAGTGTTCTTACTGCGTACGACAGATTCTCTTATTCATCTACACCTACGCCAGCATCCACTTTTCACGATGCAACATAAATAGTAACGAACGTACTTTTTTCGCACCAAAAAATTACATCGAAGTGTACACACTATTTTTCAGTATAAATAGTCCTACATCAGAAAAGTAAAAAAATTATGCATAATTATAAATGATGAGGTACGTAGAGTAATGAAACGATTTATGTAAAATAAAACTATAGAATCGTTATTTTTTTCTGTAATTGAGATATACATTATTGTTATCAGCTATTGTTTATATTATTACTATTGATATTTCATGGGCACAATTGACAATCAATCTTCCATCGTTTGGAAGTGTTCAAGGTGAAATTAATCCAACGGTAAGTAACGTTCGTCAATTTATTGGTATTCCTTTTGCACAACCACCCATTGGCCCACTTCGTTTTAAATCACCAGTTCCTTTGAATAATTCATTATCTAATGGTACGATTTATAATGCGACAGCCGCTGCACATCTCGGTGGATTTCCTTTATTTGATTGCATGCAGTTTTCATTCACGAATCCAGATTTAATATATGGACAAGAAGATTGTTTATATTTAGATATTTATTTACCATTCAATATTACAAATGGATCTCTCTTACCAGTAGTTATCTATATTTATGGTGGTGGTCTTCAAACATCAGATCCACACAGTCCCAGTCAATTAGTTTCGTTATATCAAAACATAATTTATGTGGCTATTCGTTATCGGATTAATGTATTTGGATTTATGGCATCGACAGCTTTATCAGCTAGTCGATTAGGACCAATTCAATCATCGGGTGTACAAGGTTTTGAAGATCAACAAATGGCTATCAAATGGGTTTATGATAATATTCAATGTAAGTATGAACGAAGTTCTATCATTTATATAATTAGCTTACTTTCTTTGTCAGTTTTTGGTGGTAATTCGAGTTGTATTACATTACAAGGACATTCAGCTGGCGCTGAGTCAGTTTGTCTTCATTTAGTTGCACCAGCATCTCAAGGTTTATTTCAACGTGCTATTACTGAAAGTGCCGGTTGTGACGTCACAGAACTCTCGCTAGAAGACGCAGAAACGATGGGTAATCAGATATCATCTTATTTTTGTCACTCATCATCAAATGTTATTTCATGTTTACAATCAATCGATGCAATTACTCTCCTTCAGTATTCTAAATCTCAAGGTTACGTAAGTTTCTTCGGAAACGGTTTTCATCCGCCAATTGATGGTTTAGTTTTTCCTGATACAATAATAAATTTATTGCAACAGAAAAGATTCCCAGCAAACATTTCTCTTCTAGCTGGAACAACAAGTGCAGAAATGGCCTTATTTATTTCAGCAGGATTTGAACCAGGATGGCAACTGTTCAATGTAAGTCAATCTGTTTTATCTGGATGGGTCGAATCACTATCTAATGGACAATCAGCATATTTGAATACAACATATAATCCATATGTTAATCCATATGTACCATCAACATTGATTAATTATTATGGTTTAACTGACGCAACATCAACAGGAGTGATTCAATGTGCTGTTCGTCGTACAGCTGCCTATTTAGATAATAATGGAAATGGATCTGTATATTTATATTCATTTAATTATATTCCAGTATCATCTCCTTTTGCTAGCTTATCACAGTCTGTTCATGGTCAAGAACTTCCTTTTGTATTTAATATGGCAAATTCATCAGCTTTCACACAAACAATATTTCCAGTTAGTTCATTTAATCCTGATGAACAAATATTGGCATCAGCAATGAGTTTACTTTGGATACGATTTGCTATTAACGGTAATCCAAATACACCTATCTTTATAGAAGACTGTAATCCAATTATAACTCAAATGAAGAGAATTGGAGGTTGGCCAAATTATGCAACAAACTCAATGAGTAATAGTTCACGCTATTTAGTTTTCGCAAATACCGCATTGGGAAATAGTAGTGCAACTATTATGTTGGCAACAAACGGTTATCATTCACCAACATGTGCTGCTTGGGATGCAGTTGTATCAAATATAAATATTACAAAACGATGTGCTGCTGGCTATAGTGGTGTCAATTGTACAATAACGAGTGACAGTAGAATAAATACTGCTTCAATTCTGATTTTCAGTTCAATTGCATTAACTATGTTTTTCTATAATGTCTAATTCTGCCTACATTTTGTCATATTTAGTTAGCTGTATATGAAAATATCTTATAATTGATATTTCTATAATATTTTCCGTCCATGAAGAAAGATAATCTTTGATGTTTTTTGTGACATTGATCTTTAATAAACGTATAACAGCGATTTTTGATACACTTAACCAAACTTATTTCTAACAATGTACAGATTAGCCTTCGTGATGGTTTAGAAATATTGATATCTTCGTTGACTTTTTCTATTTCTATATGAACTCTTTAATTCATGGTTCGAATACAATCCCACATATGCTTCCCAACTAATCAATATGAATTGTGTTCAACAAATAACACTTGTGATGAATCAAGTATTATTTGTATTCAACATCCATGATGTTCTTGACAGGCGAAAGACTTTTTAAATTTTATTCAGTCGAAAGGCAACAACATGTTCGACAATAGAATTCGGCTATTATTGTTTTGTTGATTTATTTGAAAATCTTATTTCTTATTGTACGTACTTTTCTTTCTAAATGGTCTCAGAGTCATATTTTCTTCAAACAATCAAATTTGTGAGTCTTTCGTTTGCATTTTGCTTGACGTATAGTCTATTGATGACGCTTGAGCTTTCTGAGGTTACGCGATGACGACTTAGCATTGACATTCCTTTTGTTTGAAGATAGCAATTGCAGTAAGTTTTCGTCATCATTAAGGGATCATCAAATGGACAAAAACTACAGCAATGGATAGCACTGTTTCGTAGAATATTGCACTGAATTTTAATAGCAATATACAAACTCATATGAGAAAATGTCTCATTTAAAAGCTTTCTTTTACTAATACAAAACAAATTTTCAGTACTGTGAAACGTGTCTAACCTGTTATCAGCACCAAAAGCAACCATATCTTTTCACGAGAAATATGTTCGATGATTCATTTTAAAGCGAGTACATCATCCGATTGATAAAAAAGATTAGTGTAGACAATATTTCATATCCCCGTGATTATCAGTCACACCTACGGATTGTATAGAAAACCCATGGGTTTAACTAATGAGAACAAATACAGATGTTTTCAATACTCACGTCGGTATAAAAATCGATAAAAATTTATCGATGATTTATACTTTCCTTCTATATCAAATTTAAGATGCGTTGTTATTTACTCGCTGTTTTTCTCCTATTGTTTATTGCCAATTTTGCCTATTCTTTTCAAATTAAACCAAAACCAATTCTATCATTACCAACTGCACCCAAACCAATTTTTCCTGGTTTAATTGATATACTTGAACCGCCTACAATGTGTCTTACGTGCTGTGGAAGACCACCATGTTGCAATACATGTGGACTCGATATTGGTCTTGATAATCAACACTTAATTAGTGAAGTGCCTGAAAAATAACTTCATCGTCAGGATAAATTATGACACTAACATTCTTTTTTCAATAAATCTATTCAATTATACATTAATAGAAGATATTTCTTATCAGATGAATTTGTCTGCTAGGCAAAACCTTGAATACTAATCGAATTCATTCTTCTTTATAAATAATTGTTGATAATATATATCCTATTGAAAAACTTAAAATTAAATAGATAAACGATAATGACATACTCAGAATAATATACGTTATTACTTGAACTAGAAGTATTCGTAATAATTGACTTTCTGTACGTCGATAACGTGCTGTCACTTGACGATTAATTTGTATAGACGAGTTGTATTATAGATTGTTAACTAACCAAACATAATCATAAGACATGGCAGAACGGAATATGTAATATAACGCGAAAAATAATAACATATATTCTCGAAACCAATATTTAAGCTAAGGTTATTTATTGCAATTTACATAAATCAGAACTACCAACACATTATATAGAAATATCAAGGAACCTTTTCACCAAAATGCATTACTACTAATATGCCATCATTATTGATGACCATCACATTTCTTTCTAAATACTCAAAAATGTCTTGACTTCTATCCATCAATATGACGGCTCCTCGGAATAACAATTGATTCATGATGCGTCTTCTGATACAACTGAAGTGACATTCGACGTTAAAATTATGTAACCTTTGTAAAAATAATATTTATTTTTACGAGAAATGCCATTAGTGAGTTTTTGGAATAAATAGATTTTCTTTATTATTGAATGAAGTCGTAAAAATTAACTCTTTAGAAAACTCGTACAGATAATTCTATGGAAGTAGATATAAACCGTTCTCCATAACAGAAGCCCCCATGGGCTTCTAATAGCTATATATATATTGCAGCACTTCTTGTGCGATAAACATTTGCTCACATCATGTAGAAATCCATAAGGAGCCAGTTGATATGAAAAAATCAACTCTTAGGCATAATACATCCCTATATTGTTCTTTACCGAAAGGCATTTCTAGTAAGGGAAGAGATTTATTACTTTATTTTTTGGAAAGGAAAGAAAGTGATGACTAACAATATGTCGAAGAATTTACAGTTGCAATTATTCCACGATATTTCAATCTAGTATGTATGAATTTACTTTGTCTGCATCAAAATCTTGGTTAGTTAAAAATGAACATTTGTCATTCGAAGTTTAGTAACAACTACGAGATCAATTGATACGCAATGCACTTTCTTCAAGAACGACAATTTCTATATTCTATAGGAAATTATCACCAATACAAGACTTGTGAGGATAAGGAACTTTCTGGCATACCGCCATCTGTTTCGCCTTGAAGATGTCGTCAATATATTTGTACTTTTTCTGTTCTATGTCTATTTGAAAGAAGAAAAAAACTCGTTGAAGAACATTAGTAACCTTACATTTTTTTTTCAGTGTGTCGTGGTGTAAACAGAATTTCTTCTTTCTATCCTTCTCTTTTTTTTCTGTTTCTTTTTTAATATCCGATTTTTCGGCTCTTTTTGGTGACACAGCAAGAACAACATTGAAATATTACTCATCTAGTGAAATTAATCATAGCTGAAAATCTACATCGATCAGAAGATTCAAAAATGCTCGTCCGAGAAGTTAACACACCAACGACCACAAGCAACCAGTACCGCCGTTCCGAATCTATCTGGCGTGTCTTTATTGATATTATTTGTCTCTCAATCTGTATGATGATTTTTTATTTTGTTTGAAAAAAAAAAAGAAATTTCTTTTTAGTACTCGCTGCATCGCTCGTTTCACATTATCTCATTGAACCGTTTACACGTGGATTCTTTTGTTCGGATACATCAATAAGATATCCGTACAAAGGTGACACGATTCCTTTCTATGCAGCAGCTATTTTATCGGTTGTACTTCCGATTATTTGGGTAAGATTAGAACATAGAGTTAACCAAGAAAAAGAAATCTTCTATTTTTTTTTCATTAGATGTGGATAACAGAATTTGCTAAGCGATTTTATTACAATCGATATCCCAAGGAAGTGTTTTTAACACGTTTAGAATGCTGCGGTGGAAGAATAACAACTATCACACCATTCGTGCGTAATTTATATATTCTAACTGGTAAAATTCACTTTTCCTTTTCGAATTGATCGATGTTGTTTTTCGATATATTTAGTTGTTTTTGGTTATGGCTATCTTTCTACATGGATTTTAACGGAAATCACCAAGAACTTTGTGGGCGAATTAAGACCACATTTTCTTGCAGTATGTCAGCCAACGATCGACTGCTCAACTCTCTCGTTAGATCAGTTTAATTCCTATTTACAATTCGGAATTAATTATACATGTTTAAACACTAATTCTGATCTTGTCCGCGATGCTCGGTAAGTTCCAATATATTATATATAATTATATTCATTTGCTTATTTAGTCGATCATTCTTCAGTGGACATACGTCGCCAATCTTTTGTAAGTTTAACTTTTCTTCTCGTAGATCAATTCTATTGTAAATCTTCTAGTTGGCTTCGGATGGCTGATTATGTATATTCATGTGTCATGGTCATGGCGTTATCTTGGCATTATTGGTAATATGTTTCAAACAGGTCTCGCTATACTTGGCCTATTTATTGGCTATTCGCGTATATTTGATTTTCATCATCATTGGAATGATGTGTTAGTTGGTGGAATTGTGGGCTCACTCGTGGCATTCGTTTCATTTAAGTTTATACTCGATTGGCATCGTTATAGTCCAAACTTCTTACCATATATAATTTCAAATAAAGCAGAGAAACAAATCTCATCGATCGATGGAAACATTCCAATCGATACTTCACTTAGTACGCTTCGTCTCCATCCAAATCATGACCGTGTAGCAAACCGATTCAATCGAAATTATTATGATGCTGATCATCATTTTGTCGAACAGAATCATCACTTCTAAAGACACAGTGTGACTTTGCGGATGAGAATGTCAGATGAGAATCGATATATAATCTCTTGAATTCAGTTTTAAAAAGGTATAATAAAATAAAGTGTTCCATTGCAATTACATTAGTTAATATTAAGTTAGAACTAGGGTTGTGCCAGTCTTTCGACTACTGTTACTTGTATTTTATCAAATATATTCCATTATAGATATCACAAATGGAGTATTTTACAATCTCCAATATCTTCAACTGGAAATTCTGAATATTCATCAATCTCTTGTGGTTCTCAAACGTTCAATGTAAAAGTTTCTTCGTGGGTTATTATAATCCTGACAGATGAATAACCATAACATCTGTAGAGTAAATCAAGATTGTTATTTACTCATTTCTCTCTTTTTCATTCTTCGATACATCTCAAAACTTCAGGGGAAAATATCATTTAATCACACTAACAAACAGTTCTCTTACTCAAATCTATACTTTTACTTTATACAAAAAAGAATTCAGATTGTCTCGTAAGAAACAAACTAGATCATCACTATCAGTAAAGATCTATAGAAATCAACAAAAGATCATTAAGTGAGATAAACTGTTTTACTTTACCTGTCTTGCTTATACCAAACAATGTGAAGTTGATCAAATAGAATACGTGCTCTTCTTTTCGCATAATCAACGATGAAATCTTTGTACGATTCAGTATACCTTTCTCCTTGATTGGATTCGTAAGAGCCCACTCGATCGGCCAATATTCGTACGCATTCAAATGCTCACTACAAAACGAAACATTTTTTGTTATACTACCATCTGTCTCTTGTTTCAATACAGCGATTGGCTTGTTAATTCTTTCTCCTGTATATCCATAATAAAGAATCGGATCAAATGAGTTTGTTTCATTGTATACAACGGGCAGAGAAAAACATCGATTAGCTACCAAAAAGATTTCAACGCCAAGCGGCCACTAGGCATTTCACTACGATTCCATCATATGTGTTAGTTGATGCATCATCAGTTATCGATTGCATACTTATTCTGCCAATTTAATGTTGAATACAGGGATAGATTGAATAAAATGATAAGAATACCGACATTAGAAGACAAAAGAAGATTGAATTTGTTTGCCTGATGAGAATATGTTTTGTTACACTAAAGTCACATGTACACGGCAAGAAAAGTCCCTGAAAGATCTCGATATGCTATAACTTTCAACATTTTTCTCTCCGACATTTTCTTGTGTTGTGCTTGTGCAGTCACTTCTGATGCTGAAAGAAAAACACTCTTATCCGCAGAGTATAGACATTCACTTGCTCTCTACGTTGTTTTTCAATTATTTTCTTCCCAGTGTGGGTATCTTGACGAAAACAAAATGTGTGGTTAGTGGTAGTATTCTTTTGTCCTTTCTCAGCGCAAGCCAATCATGTGACAATCGAAATTGTTGTAAATGCGTAATAATCGTAGTGAAAAGTACAGGCGCGAATTCTTTCTCGTTTGTCAAAACGAAGTTTATTTTGTCGTCTCTTTGAATAGAGAAATCCACATCGAGAATGTTTAATATAAGAATTCTTAAGAACAGCAAATATTAAGAGTGTAGACATAGATAATTTTCTTTTTCTTACCACCGCATATATTTATCTTGAGTGTAGTATGGTATCTATTAACTTCTTTTTAGATTTGGATGAAATCTTATGGATGAATCAATTTTAAACCATTTATTCCTCCCTCATTATCTACCAAATTCAGCTGATGAAGATTTTTTGATTAAAGGCAAACACGAAAATGAGTACAAACTGCTTGACTGCCTTGATGAATATTTCAATTCAATCGCTCCTACTCATTTACCGTTTACTCTACCTGTCTTTCGCATTCTCCACGATGGCATCAAACGTTGGGCTGCATTTCAGAATCCTCAGAATTTCTCCGCATCAAATATACAATCCACCATTGAAAAACTATCATCTGGAAGTTTCCTTCCACTTTATTTTCACACACAAAATGCTTCAATCCTAATTGAAATCGATGAAAAGAATCAAGCAGTAGTTTCAGCGTGGGAAGTTCTGTTATCAACTTCAGAAATAACTTCATCAGTCACACGACATTATTCCTGCTTTCCTGTAGCTACCTATCGATTACGTGATCGAAATCAGCTGTCAGCAAAGACTCATTGTGAAGTCTTGGTAGATTTCATGATGAATACGATTGAATATTCCAAGCTACCAAAAGTATCTGGTAAAGAAGAGGAAATACTTGATGTGCCCGAATCACATTACGTATGCCAATGGTGGATTCAGCACTTTCAAGGATTGATAGACAATGATACGACTGAAATCTGCCTGCCGTTCAAGAAAAAACATCGTGATCAAGTTCGATCAAAAAGCGAATCATCACCTTTTCGTCGTTCGGGACTCTGGATGACTATCAAAGTGGTAGTACAAATTATTTTAACGAAATCTTTGAAAGAAAATGCGATTATCATTTATAAACTATTCGTAACTCATTTTCTCACGTACATTATCTGCACAAGACCGCCTCCAGTCGACTTATTGGTGCATTCGATCAGAAAAATTGTACGACGATTGAATAAAATTGATCATTTAATAATTTCTTCAGCGTCCGAAAGTATAAATCAATGGATTGAAAATACAAAGAATGACATACAAGATAGTATCAATCGGATCTTTCCCAAATCAGATTGGCAACAAGCGGTTCGCATGAATGAGATCCGAAATGAAGATTTATCAATGGAGAATTTCCATTTGAACAATACAAGAATTTGTAAACATTTATGTAGAGATCTAAAAGCATATCTGGATGGTAGTGCCGTACGAGAAGCATTGGAAACAGGCGTAGACACGAATGGTCACTACGGTGATTCATCTCAAAATACTAAAAACATCGATTATGTACCTTCTCTTGAGAGTTTAACAAACAAGTGTAGACATACTATGGGCGTCGCGTTGACTCGTTTAGAAATATGGGTGGACACGCATCTAGAACAATGGATCAGTCATGGCGACCTAGCTGGACGTGAGAAAAAATTTCAAGATTTATTAGTTTTTTTCGAAGAGTATCAAAATGCAGCACTGACGCATTATGGTTCAACAGATCCCGTCGGCTATAGTCGATTTATCCTAACATCATTGACAATTATTCGCTCCATGCACCATAAACTATGCCAAGATAACATATTAAAACGACTGAATGCACATTCGATTCAAATTCCTAATCTCATCGAATTATTCGAATTTTTGGTGTTACCAAATCGAGACGATATGGTCAGAGCCGAAAGTCTCTACGACTTCTTCAAGGAATTTGCTTCTAAATCATATCCCGATCTTTTAACAGACATTAAGCATGTCAATGCATTTGGTGTTTACTATGCTGGTCAATCACTGGCAATGAATAACAGTATAAAACAAATTCGACGCCAAGCCGAGATTGATAAACAGAACAAAATACAGGAAGTTCAACAAGCGAAACAGCGATATACACGTCTTATGGATTCCATACGCGGCCGACCATGTTCATGCTATTATGATTCAGATTATAATTCATATATCGAATGCAAAGTATGCTCAATCAGCGCGACAGCAGATCGTATAACAGTGAGCATTTTTGAAAATCCAATGCCAGTTCAACGCGAAAGTGCATTAGCTGTCATTTTCGAACTACAAATGCCGAGTGAAATTCGATGTTATAGAGAAGTTCTTTGGCAATTTCTTAATCGACCTAAGCACAATTCAAGCAATATGATGCATAGATGGTTAAATGTTTCTCCTCATCAAACGAAATTGAGTTCATACTACCATGGTCCAGAGAAGTGTAAAGTAAACCTCGTTTCTTCTACAACTTCCGTAACACAGAATTATTCTTCTCATCCGCCAAGGGTTGGCTCAACAGCCATTGAAGGTTTTCTATTCGAAAATAGTCTAGAGGTGCGCATCTCTCCTACACAACCAATTGAATTCAAAGAGGAGCAGCACATGTTAACTCCTCAGCTCAACCACTCCGATTACAAACAATTACAATTTGCTATAAACAGCACAGGATTTATTCAAAATGATGTTATTGCGAAATTATCCAATTGTTCATTGGAAATTCAACCTAAAGAATTTGTTGAATTTGGTTCATTTCGATCGGGTCATCGTTTACAATGGTGGAATCTTCTAGCAGCACTCGAAACGGATTCCTTGTCTATTGCTGAAGAAAGTGTAGCAATATTAATTACACACTCAATATTACAGTATGGTCCGGTAGCTGACAATAAAAGTAATACAATAAATTCATGGTGCTCAGAATCGCATGAACAATTATTACAGGATCATTTTGTTGACGAATTGATCGGAAGAATGACTCGTCTTTTGGATGATTGCGAACTAAATTGGCAGAATGAATTAGTGTTAATTGTCATAGCTATGATAACTATGAGAATATTGACTATTTGCAATTCAACCCGAGAAGATCATGTTGCTACATTAACATTGAAATGTCGTAGGACAGGTGAAAAATGGATTCAACTTATTTCAGAAAGTATGGAAACGATTGATTCATCAGCTTTCGACGAAATGGCCAAACTTCGCCAGAAAATGGTTATTATCGGTACTGCTTGTCTTCTAACGTTTTCAGCACCAGTAGATCGACTTAGACGTCTACTATCATCCAACGGACACGTGATATCTTTACTGAAAGCATCCACGATTGTTCATGATAATTCTGTTTTGAACAAGAATCGATCGAGCCTAAGCACTTTTATGCAAAATATTCTAAGAATGAAAGAACGAATACTAGTTATGGTACAGCCGACGCTTACTGAGTTTCTTGAATGAACATCCTATGAAAGTTTAAATGAATTCTCTGCAATTTACTGGGCAGTTATTCGAAGCCACGGTCGTATGCATGGAAACTGGAGAAAACAAAAGAATGATCTACATGATGGATGGTATGATGGACAATACGAATCACGACATCTATCAATTGATTTCATTCAGGGTTCATTTTTAGTTGATGATGCGACGATTGGATTTTTACCAGCAAACATCACAACAAATCCATTATTTGTCCGTGTATTCGGTTCACATGTTTTCGAAGTTCAAGCGGCCGAATTACCACATACTTATATCAGTAAACATTTGTATCATGGTGCCGGCAGAGCTCTGTATGAATTTCATGTAGATGAAGACAATAAACGCTTAACAATCAAAGAACGTCATGTAACGACCAACGATATATATCAATTAATTCCTCATGATTGTTTCAAAAGTGAGCTAGCTGATACATTTGTTTCCGATCATAGTCATTGGTGGCATGAGAAAAAGAAAATAGTCGAATTTCGACCAGTAGAATTTCAAAATAGCAAGTTCTTGGACAATAAACCTTACGTATTAGAATTAGATAAAGGATTTATACTGACCACTGATAAGACGAATCAACAGATGCTCATGAATCAATCATCATCATTCTTTCGAATCTTATTCAACGAATATTTCAATCGTCTTGATAATCATTCTTCCATCTACATGATGCGAGAAAGTGATTCTCAATCGAATATTATTGTTCACATTCATTTACCTCGCCTGGGAATTGCTTTCCAATATAATAACAAAACGGATCGAATCACATCTCGTGAATATTCGGATATGTGTATCGCTAAAGATCAATGGTTTGGGACGTTAACGGGTTTAACATCTGGTCTTCTTCTCTCCCCATTATCTGATAATAATCATTGCATGGCGAATTATCCTTATCGAAAGCTGATTGTACCTTTCGGAAAAGTTTGTAGTTCGATCACTCCCCCCAATGAACACCAGACGGTTATCATCAGCCCAACTTCAACATCGGGCGCATTTTCCCGTGATTATTTTGTGTTCATTTTAAATGATCGGCTAAAAGTTCTACAATCAACCGGTAGCCCGACCGGTTGGCTCTACTTAGCATTGTTACATGCAATGACTTCTCATCCTCTTCCTGATCAATACACTGGAATGACAGGAATGGAACGTGCCTTTCAACTTCTAAAATCTGCTGGTTGTTCTTCGGATCAACCTTTCGACGAAACTTCGCTGAATATACTTGTTCAAATCGCATCGATTACACCGAAAGTAGAGTACTATCCAAAGAATTCACAATCTATGGAAACCATTCATTGGAGTAAAAACGGTCCACCTTATTCGATGCAACACTTTGGTTATTATTTCCTAGCAAAAAATATATATGCTGCTAGCCAACAATTTAATTTTATGTACTCATCATCCTCCAAAGCACAACTAACGAAGATATTTGATGAAGAACAGTACAACGAACAACTGCTGAAAAAGCTTTATTGGAATTACCGAGACTCATACAATTCAACGGCGAAATTACCTCAGGAGATGGAAGATAGCTTTGGAAATCATATTGATCCTGCGTCCCCACACCAATCCACCACTGAACAATGTTTACATACGACCAGTTGTTTTCCTGTTGATTTAGTCCATGATTTATACAACAGTGGAAGTGTAGAGCTTGTTGATCAAGTCATACAGAATTGGTTACCTCTATCTCGGTGGCTAACAGAAGGACGTAATCTGAGAAATATTTGGATTGGCTTGCTAAGATTAGCAGATCGTCTCAAAACACAAGCAGCGGGAGCCAATATAGATGATATTCAACGATTCGAATATGTATTAGATTTTCTGCATTATATTTCGAAGAAATGTAACATTAATCCATATTATTTACAACTATTGAAGACACAACTCAAAGCATGGAACATAACCCTACAATCGGTTACTTTTCCCCTGTTTACTACCTATCAAAACATCGAAGACATCTCTGTTAATGTGAAACACTTGAGTTTTTTAGGTCCATACAAAAACAAGGACAAACAGATAGTTATATCAGAAGTACAGGCTTACTTTAGCGGCTCTGGCAATTCCTATAACACACACAACATAGTAACGCCGACGGAAATGAATAATATCCATCAATTGATAATGTCTTGGCGCAACAATGCAAAACTTCGATCATTTTTAGAAATTCTTCGAAATCTTTTCCACTCTGTTCGAATAGAAACATTTGATACGAAGGTGGCGTATGTTTCACAACAATTTGCATGCGAATCGTTTGTAGATCACTATCAAATAAGACTAAAGCCGTCGAACAAAGCTATGGATGCAAATCTATTGTCAAAGGCAGACGCAAAATTTCATCAAACCTATCAAGGCCATTTCACGAAAACAGCACAATCTTCGCGCAGTATTATCAGACAACAGGAACCGTTTCCTGAAGAAATCTTTTTATCTGTCAGTCAAAAAGACAATCCTCTAACTGAAATTGGCGATTTTTTCAAAAACCAACTATCTGAAAGTTGGAACAAATTTCTGGCAGATAAACCAGCTCAATATAAAGATCCCTTGACCGAAGAACTTATTGAATTGCTTCGATCATTCACTGAAGAATCCTTAGAAAGCTGGAAACTGTTAGAAGAATCTTTGACGAATTCAAATGAGCAATTATTTCAGTCAGGTTTAACACTACGCATTACACCGACAGCTCTTATTCCACTTTTACAACAAAATACCACTATGGTTACGTTGAGTGCTGAACAACGTACATTATTCGGTGGTATTCTTGTCAACTTGACTCTACAGCAACAAATAGAACGAGCATTACATTTTGCTTACCTTAGGGATGTCACAATACCATTTTCAGACACGTAAAGATTGCCAAATTTCACAATGAAAATCTACCAATACCAACCAATACTTTGTGTCAGCTATAACCAGCGAACTTCGCTCTATCTAAAAGGAGTATATAAAATACCAATACCAACAGAAAAAAATCCTAGTATTGGTCGGTATTGGTGGAAATT